ACTTACAGCAGAGAATGATTGTATATGGGTTGAAGCCATCTACCTCGTATACATTTTCTGTGCAAGCTGAAGGTGAAGACAGCTTGAGCAGCTATAGTCAGCAGGTCAACTGCCACACGCCAGAGAACAGTAAGTGCTTTTCATGTCTTGATCAAGTGTCTCTCATCGGAAGGCATATTGTGTTCAATCCTTCTGTGCCAGCAGAAAATGTAAAATCTATGAAGTCTGCCAGAACTTTTTATTGCTGTATGTCAATTTGTGCATCAATGAACTAGATGCTTCCAGCACTTTCTAAAAATGTTCACCAAAATAAATGCGTTCTGGTCACATACAAGGCATTCTGGCCATTGAAGGTATCTGTTAATTAGAATGAAAAGAATACTAAACCATCATTGAAACATGCTAATTAAACCATTCAAAGGAACATAATTTACATAATATTTTTAATTAACAGAGCCATCATCGCCTCCAACAAATGTAAACGCACGGCCGATTGATGCTCATACTGTTGAGATGCGGTGGCTCCCACCAATTGAGCCGAATGGTCCAATATTGACGTACATTATCATGTATAATGTGAATGAAAGTCAGCCAGATGAAGAATGGCAAAGGAAAGAGAAGACAGGTAAGTTTGCGCTATAAGATTCTATCAGCTAAAATTTATGTACAGTAAAACGTCCATTTTACGAACGTTGATTTTACAAATAGTTGATTTTATGAATGGTCTTTGCCCCTGATGTCATCACCGATCAATTATTTACCGTAAAATGTCCGATTGCACGTTTTACAAAGTGATAATGTATATTTTTCTTGATAAAGTCAAGTTTGTTGTATTTATTAATAGTTCGATCTTTTATTCCATTTCTGGTATAATCACTATAATGTAATAAACCTAACCAGAACAACGAACTACCAATGCAAGTGTCGTCGGATTGAGTGCACATGTTTACGATGACGAACAAGAGTGTTGGGGTCACCAACTTATTGACATCGTGAATGCTAGATATGATCGCGAAATGCATGTAAACAATACAAGGCTAACAACTAGAAAGAACACGATAGAAAGGTCATAAAACATACAGATGTTAAAATAAGATTTTAAGAGTTAAAATAACATTTTAGTTGGAAGAATGATAAATTCAGCTAGGCTCTAGCACTATAGACCACGCTGCTGCACTGTCGGTTCGTGCTAGGCCGGGCTGCCGTCAGCCTATCGGCGCTCAATGGCAGGCGATATCTAGGCCTAGGTATTGGAAACTGACACTCGATCTAGTTTACAAATTTCTAGTGGTATGGAGAGTGCCCTAGTAAAGAATTAGGTAGTGTTGTTGCTTTAGAAAGATTTTTAAGGTACTTCTAAGATAGGAAGTGTTTGTTGCACTTGGAAAATATTCCTGCATGAGAAGGGGTTGGTAGTATGTTCGAACTTGGAAAGCAAGAAGTAGACAGGGTTGTTGCTTTGGAAGGGTTAGAAATGGAAAGTCTTTCTGCATAAGAGCGGTTTGTGTTTGAAAAATATCAGCAATTTTAAAGGTAGGTAAGTATCAGTGGTAAGTAAGTGATGTTTGACTTCTGCCTGTGTTAACTTATAATGTATTGATGATGCTAAATGAATTCATTAATCAACTATTCTTCTATTTCAGTCTCCAGACCGAATGATTTGTTGCCACAGGAAGACCTGTTGACGGAAATCACAAACCTTGACAGTAACACCAAATACTACATCAGAATGAGAGCACGCAATAACATTGGTGATAGTGCTCCTACTAAGGCTGTGTCAGTTCTGACATTGATTGGCGAGGCTCCATCTGTACCTGACGCTACTGGTAAACAGTTGATTTATTATTTTTAATGATATATTTTTTTCCCATACAGTATTTACTGTACAGGGGCAGATTCAGCCATGCGAAATGCAAAGTACCGAGCTTGGGGGAGAAGGGAGAGCTGGAGTTTGAGATTTTTGTTTAGAAATGCTTGACCATAGAGACTGGTACATGGAATTTGAGTTGTAAATTAGTTTGTTTTGGAGTGCAGTGCCCCTTCTCCTTTCATTTCTTTTGTTTTGGTTAAGGGGTGTCTGTCTGCACCTACCCCCTGGATCTGCCCCTGCAGTATCTGTCTCCCATCATTCCTTATTACCTGTTATCATAATGATATGCATCCTTTCAGTAATTTTTATTGAGCTAAAAAAGCTATTTCAGTATTTAAATTGCTTAAATTAATAGCTATGAATTGAAGATTTATAAATGCTACTCTTACATAAATGCAATACCATTTCTATATTCAAATTGTATAGTGAAACATAATTATGTAAAACATAGAAAACTAATTTTTTTTACATGTAAATATAACATTGTTTATCATTTCATATGTCTTCTACAATTTTAATTTGTTTAAAATAAATTAAAATATAATTTTATTATATTTAGTTTAATTAATTATTTAATATATTTTGTCCTAAATTTTACCACAGATGATATCCTATTTTTAATATTTTTATGATATCGCAGTTTGCACCTTAATTAAATAAAATAAAAATTCTTATTGTATTGTATTGGTGTTTTTTTGCAGGTAGTACGGGTGAACAATTCTCAGAAACTGTTCTCGGTATTCTGTTTGGTGTTGGTATTGTTGTTATTTGTATTATTTTATGCGTCATATTTCTGCTGCTAGCTAGGAGGTAAGTGCTAATTAACATATCTGCATTATTTACTTGTCATTGGCATTGACAGGTTAATTTACTTAATTTTTCATTAACATTACATCAGTAATCGATTAAAAAGTCTTTAAATGCTGTTAGATGGTGTATATGTGAGGGGCGTGGTTTGGCACAGCGGTTGTTAGGCCTGTGATCGGGAGTTTTTTGAACCATGACCATTCTGGCCCAGCTTGCTTAGATACCCAGTTTGCACTGCTGACAGACTTACCTGTGCTATGTTTCCACCCTAGGTTCAAATATTCATGGTTTATATATTTTAAAATAATATTATGTTACTCCTTACCTAGAAGTAGTTTCTTGGGTCTTTGTGGAAGGAAAATTCAAATACAATAATATAATTATTTAAGTTTATAATTGTGTGTTTTTTTGTTTTTTTTTTACATTTGTAGGTATGTAAACAAGCAAGCACATAGATACCGAGAATCTCGGGCAGCTGCCAATGATCTATTGGCGGAAAGAGTGCGAATGTACCTGGACGAGACCAATTGGCCTGAGGGACAGGGACCACTGGACCAGTTCCTACCTATGATGAGACAGTCCTTGCAGTCTACCCACATTGATACTAAGGTAAACAGCTTGAATAAGAACAGATTTTACTTCATTACGTCACAAATATAGAGAATAATGCTTAAACCAACATAGCATTGACATTGTGTCAATGCCTTGGGCACCAACTTCAGTTGAAGAGTATAGAACTGCAAGTGGTCCGACTTTGTAGGTTTCACTAGAATGCAATCCTATCTAAAAAAAAGTAATATCACAATCTCAGTAATGCAGCCACTAAAATTGAGGCACTCTCTAGTGTATACTCAGGGCCTAGGCGTAGCACTAGGCCTATGCCTGGAACAGGTGCGATAGCCGCTGGTCTTGCATATCGTTGTTTCCTTTGTGTTTAATTCAATCATTAAGACTGTTCTTACCACCATTACGACTGGTTACAAATAAATATGACATTCAAGAAATTCATTTATGGAACCGTTTTTGTGAAATTTTATAGGTTTTTAAATTTGGCTAAAGCATTTTAAATTTGTCGAAAAAAATTAAAAACTTTTCACCATTTTGGCGAAAGAAAATTTGACCCTAGCGTGAGCGTAGCTACCTCGTCATAGTACTTTTTTAATGTTTCATTGAGTGCGTACAAAATCAGAGCATTCGGACCTCTTCTATTACAATATGATAATCTGCTTCATTTGGCTCTCTTATAATATATTCAGTGTAACATTCAATTTTAACATTTTGTCTGCTTACCTTAGGGTACTACTGACACACCACTGATGAATGGAAATCTGTTGGCTTTGACTTTTGCCACTCCGTCAACCAGCAAAGATCATCAGATGTCACTTCAGTACCAGAGGGATTCCACCTCATTCAGTGATGTCATAGAAGAAACAAACATCGATCAAGAGCTGGACGAACACAACAACAGCTTTGATAGCAGTCTGCAGATGTCGTCAATCAAAAACATGGAAGGCTCGAGTCATGACACTGGCATATCCACGTGCCACGGCGATCAGGACAGTCCCAAGTGTGCTAGTATGAACAGGCTTCAGAAACAATCGTTGCCGAACGAGTCATCAGGCTCAAGCTCGGAATTCTCGCAGCAGAGTGGCTCCTCTAGAGGGGGTACATGCACCGCAGACGGTGAGCCCAGGCGGCTCAACATGTGCCCTGCTATTGAAAGAACTATGTTTAATTGTGGTGGAAACTACAGCAATGACACTGCTGCACCAAGAATATTTGGTATGCCACATGTTCGAGAATATACAGTGTAGAGGGCATTAACCACTGTTGGACTATTACAAGGATGGTACGGGTATTTTGTCTGAAATAAGTCATCCATGTGGGAAGTGGAAAATTTAAAATGTACAGCGTCTGAGGAAATAGCAATATTTAAACAGGGAAATATTATATTAAATAAAAAATATTGCAGGAAAAAAAAAAGATTTTCTCTGTCTTTTTAATGTATGACATGTTGTTTCTTCCTATGTATTGTAGACACTGACCTTAATGTTCCAGTGTTCTTACAGATCTAAATTTGTAGCCATTATATTTTGTGGCGCTGACAGAATATAAACACCAAAGCTTTATGCAGGGATAATATATATATATATATATATAAATTTAAAGTTAAGGCTATCAAACTGGTTCAGCTTGCTGTTAAGTGAATTAATTTGAAATGAAAGAGAAAAGATTTGTTTTAAAATTTTATATGTTTGGTTATATATGTTATGATTTATATGGCACATGTTCTGAAATGGAATACTGAAATTGATATGTTTCTGTTATTTTTATTTGTAGCTTAAATAATTTAGGGTATTCCACTCATCTTAGAGTATTGTAAAGAACTTTTTTTTTCTGCCTTAAGATGTATCTTTTATATATTTATGATCTGATTTTCTTTTCCGTTTTTCTTGAAAGGGAATTTGTGTGCTAATGTATGACACCATTTACAAAAAAAGGAAATAATTGTTTGAGTCAAAACCAGTCTATATTATTTTAAACAGGATTTAATCAACTTGTGTTACCAACTGTTTAACCAGACAAACAACGTCATGAAATTTGTATCCTGTTGCTAATGTAAAATAATTGGCAAATCAGTTTTATTAAATTTAATAAATGGTCGTTGAGTTTCTCCCTATAAAGATATTTTTTTTGGGATGTGTAGAATCAATTGAGGAGGGTGTCACCGCCAGAGAGTTCCCCTGTCCATTCCTGCAGCATTTTCACCACATTATTGCAGTTTAATGGATGGTTTTATGTGATCAATTTCAAAAAGTCTTCATTTTGAAATTGAAAGATTTTAATAACTCCAGTTTGGAGATCATATTCTGGAAATAATTTAAGCAAATCCAGCTTCATGTATTAAAAATTATTTGTATTCAAATGACAAAATTCACAATTGTTGGGAGAATTTTTCACCAAGAATATTACATTACATTAATGTATTTCTAAAGCATCAATTATGACATTAAATATAAGTCAATGTGATTTTGAAACAGGATTACTACAGTATATTCACTTGTTTACTGTGGATTATAATTTATATTATTGATTGCTGAATGAATTTGAGTCCTGGTACATGGCCTTGTACAAAGATGTACAATGTTGAAGATATAATAGCTAAGGTTTATACCTTGTATGTTAATTTTGTATGTATGAAATAGTCCCTTGATGTACTTGAATGGTGTTATTATGCAGCTGACTGTCTCATTACAGCTTCTACCTCCTGATTAATACATGATTAATTATGAATTAAATTAAGTGGAATTATTGTAAAAAATAAGTTTTAAACTATTTTTCTGATTATAAACAGCTCATTGGTATCAAGATAATCTTGATGATTATCTAAGTTGGGTGGGGTTGATAAATATAGGAAAATCATGTTGATTTACCAGGAGGATCATGATGGTTGTCTGGGTGGGAAATATGGAATAATCATGATGATGATCTAGGTGGGAATAGGAGGGGGAGATATTGATGTTTAGGTTTGGATTTCTCTGTTGATACACCTTAAGATTTGTCTCTTATTCAAGTGACTAAATGACATGTATGTAATTAATGTTGTATAGTAATATCTCTGAGAAATATGTTATAGTCGTACATGGATGGTTAGGCAAGCATTTTAGGGTTTAAAGACGGGTACACATTGTACTGATAAAGAAAGCAAAGCGACGAAGTACACAAATCAAATAATTGTTAAAGACGATCTGCTCGGACTGCTGCAATTAATATCAGCATTTGTTGTATGATGTTACCGGCTTTAGGCAGGTCCAAAGCACCATGACTGGACAGATAATCAAATACATTTAGACTATGAGAATAATTAACAGCACGGCTCCTTCTATACATTGAAATAACTTTCTCTGTTCTCTAGTCTGTTATTATGTGCTGTGTTATCATTCACAAGATGTACAAGATTATATAATTTTATTTAAAGAGGCACTACTTGATGGCATGATATTGAAATGATGCTAGGGTTTATATGATGCGTAATGTCAGAAAGATGTGTCGGTGCACGATGTGTGCATTGTGGCAGTATCTAGAAGCAACAAAGCTGTTTTTAGAGTGTAATTTTCTCAGGGATATTAGTTTAAGATCATGTATATAGATTATGTGTAAGGTACTTAAGTAAGTTGCTTCTTTATTTTCGCAACATTGTTAATGATAAAAATACTATAAATACCTCTGAAAATGTGCGCGCAATTGAAAATGATACAAACAAGGACTTTAAAAAATGGCCAGTAGTAATCTGTAGAAGAAACTAAATAATCTCATTTTCATTCTGTTACAAAACGGCAAAGTAGATGACCAAAAACGAGAACATATATTTATGTTTATATGATTTAATGAAATATAAACAATAATATTGCTAACATCCTAAACATTTTCAGGATGAATAAATTGTGTAGCCGCATTAGAAATGACAACAGCACTTTTAAGCAAATTGCTTTTAGGAAATTTCAAAATATTGCCAATTGATTGAATAGAAACTCTTAATTCTGTGAATAAAAAGTGTATTAAAAGAATTTGGGCTGAAGTAATAAACCTAATATAATATAATAATATAATGTGTATGTAAAACCAATCACAGACACTCGTGGGTATTTAGACTATGTTAACATTTACCAATTGTTTGCACTAGAAAGTTATCACGATATATTACTCCTATAATAATGGTGTTGGTCTGAAAATTTGTGGTTCTATTACTAATAGTAATCATATTCAAAAAAAATTAAATAATTTCCAGGTATTACCAATATATAAGCTGTCTCTTATACACATCTAGATGTGTATAAGAGACAGATATGTGAATGTAACATATATATTTATAAAAATAATAACTATACAATATATGAATACCTCATTACTTGTGGATCAATTATGTCGATTATCTACATATTTATAATCATTAAATCTACCTCATAAGTTGATAAGTTGCAATTTGGCTGCATCTTATATAGTAATGATTTTTGCTTCCACAGTATCTCCATGGCTTATTAAAAAAAAATATATATATATATATTATTATTAGAATTAAATCAGGAAGTATAAAATCAATGCATATCAGTATCTGAAAGCCTGACTCAGGAATAGCTGATAGATGAATATTTGTGGGGTTTTTGCCACATTAATTAGCATAATTTTGTTTCATTGATCAATTTATATACAGTAACCATGCAAAGCTGGGCACTCTACAACGAATCCAACTTCGGTCCCTGTGAGCGCTGGACAACGCGACACCGTCCGCTGATTGTCAGTGGCAGTCTTTACGGATCTTCATGAAAAAGATCTGTTGCACGCGTGTTGTTGCGTTACGTTCTGCATAGAATTGCGTCACTCGACAAACGTTGAGCGCATTGAGTACCCTGCTTTAATCTTATGGTTCCTCCCTTTGAGTGATGCATTCATTGTTGAACCCTGTGGTGGATTGCTATCAAAATGTATTGAACAGCCAATCTTAACTGGGTATTATTATGATTATTGCTAACTTTATTATATAGACCATCTTTTCTTCCAAATAAATAAACTTCACAATTTAAGGCTTTGGAATGAACACCTGCAGCAGGTTTAATGTCCCCAGACAATAAGTTAATAAGTACCAGTTCCCAGGGAAGAGCCCTTAAAGCAAATCCCTCCCTCAAAGGAGATGAAGAATATGGAGGCTTTTCTAGGTAAAGAAACTGCTCGTAGTCACCACAATAAGACCTTTAATAAGAGAAATCTAGTTTTTTTTATTGCCTCATGGACTATTTATTGACCAACATAGAATGCCACGTTGATAGCTTGTGTACTAAATTGTACCAGCCTCTGTCCACGTAATTGGTTATGCAGCAGTATAGTAATGGTCTGTTATTATAGATAAGTAATGAGTTCACGATATTATCCTGCTGAGCATTACGACAATCTTTTAAAATTCTTACAGCAATCTGCCCCTGATTAATTATGCATGAATCTGAAAAGAAGTCAAAGGTTTTAATTGTTGGCAACCACATAACAGTCATAATACTGATTTTCTTAGCATTTTTAACAGAAAATTCAAAAATAATTTTGATTGGTATTTCCTCATCATCACTTTTTATGTAGGAACCATTTTTCGAGTCAGAAATATTATTCATAGTTATTTTGTCCAGTGTATAGGTAAATACAGGGTAATATGTTTATTACAGTCATTACTGGCATCCAGAGAGAGCTTTGCTTTGTTCTCTTCAACGTAGTTCGCAGGATTTAGTGTGGATTCACACTAGAGGATTATGTAACACGAGGGGCTGTCACTCTAAGGAATATGTTATATTCAGCTACCTTGGCAGTATTTAAGTATGTACATAAAATTGGATTAGTACCAGAGCTACAATTGTTAGTATACATATGATTTTGTTTGCTTTACAAAATAGTTATATATTTATTAATTTTGTATTAATTTTGCTCACTGTTAATGTGAATTAAAGTTACAGCTAAAGGGTAGAATGGCAGCGCACAAACACTTTTTTCTTCAATTACGTACAATGAAAATAATTACTTAAAATTGTTTAGGAACGAACCTGGAAAAGAATGATCTTAAATATCAGATCAAATATGTACTAAAGAAGGGATTATACCATTTGGAAAATGGGGTGGATCTTGGGTACCAGTTGAAACTATGTAGGAGACTCAATGTTGGATTCATTAGGGGGTGGGGTCACACATGGATATGATTGGATAATCTTATCTATAAAGATACGATAGTAAGGAATCGGATGTATAATCTTGTATCAAAGGAAGGGATCTTACTACAGAGTCTATATTCATTCAGCAAAGGGATTTTATGAGAGTAAAGAGGGTTGATACATTTGTTAAAAGGGGATTTTTTTGATGAGTATATAAAAAAGCACATCTGTAACTAACTGCTTTTTAATTTGAGGTGATGTGAAAATACTCTATCTTCACCTGCAGACTGGTGTGTTTCTACATCCATACATTGTTTTCATTACCTTGTACTAAATTGACTTTATAATTTAAAGTATGTAGAGTTCAGTTGTAGCGATAAATTCTGCACCCAATTTACAGTTTATGTAAATAGTTTATTCACCTATGGCACATAATTTTGCGTACATACAATATGAATACACATTAGCATGTATGTGTACATAAGCCTGTGTGTATGCATACCATACTGTACCTAGCATTAGGGTGCATATATATATATATATGTATATGTATATGTATGTGTATATGTATGTATGTGTGTATATGTATATGTATGTATATACAGTATAAATATGTATATGTATATATATATGTATATATATGTATATATATATATGTATATATGTATATGTATATATACATGCATTTATAGTATATGAATACACATTAGCATGTATGTGTACATAAGCCTGTGTGTATGCATACCATACTGTACCTAGCATTAGGGTGCATATATATATATATGTATATGTATATGTATGTGTATATGTATGTATGTGTGTATATGTACTATATAAACCAAATGAATTGCATTTGCTTACTGTATATATTATAGTATAAAGTAAAAGTATAGCCTAAATATTAATTTAGGCTATGTATATTTAAGGTACCGTCAATCTGCAACGAATTCATTTTCGTATACAATTCACATTTACCTAACAGTAGTTTATTACGATATCTCATGTGTATCCCCTTTCTACTATGTCTGTCTCTTATACACATCTAGATGTGTATAAGAGACAGCCCTTAACACTCATCACTTAACAGTTTGCCTTCTTAACATACACCGTGCCTTTGATCATTCTTCTTGGAATTCGTGCATTACATGATTGTACTGCATTATTATTACCTATACTTGGGTACAGTACACTTTTTCAAGGGAACAGTGCACATGTTTGATAAAAAGTACATCCCAGTGGTGGCGGATTCGAGAGGGCCCATCTGCCCCCCACTTCTTAATTTTCCAAAATTATAAAAAAATTGGGAGAATAAGAAAATTACATTGAAATTTTGAGTCCGAGAGTGCCATTTCTGGCTTTCTAGAAGTGACATAATCATAACTTTTCTTTTCTCAGCCTCAACCATGGTGGGGCTGAGGTGGTATAGGCCCTCCATCTGTTGAAGTCCTTCCCTGGGCCCACTATACTTCAAATTCCTGAATCTGCCACTGCGTCCATGCTGAAGTACCGTACATGCAGGATCAGATACTGCAGTGAATCAGCATTTTCATTTCTATCCAAATATCAATTTGGCAAATAAAAGACAAGATGGTTTTTTTACATGATATTCAAATTCTCTTTTAAATATCAAACACATGAGAAACCAGTAAAATGTTACATCAAGCAAGGTGTAAATGCTAAAGTATATCTGTTTATGTTATTGAATGCTGAATATATAACAACTGTCCACTCACCTCTGACAAAGAACTTTCTGAAAGCTCTAGTTTACACTTGTATTGAGGTTTTGCAAATGAGAATCTAGTGAGATCCCACTAGTTTCATGGAGTATTGTTTTCTTTATTTTAAAATACATTATAAAAATTTTTAAATATAAATAGACACCCAAGAGGATAAACCAGAGCTTTTAGAGGACATGGACAGGCAGCACACCTTTCAGCCCCATGTCGGAGTACAGCAGATCTATTATACTGCAGTACAGCAATGCTGGGCAACAGCAGACCTACAACATATCATAAATCATTCAATAGGTAGCAAAATCCTCGTGTACAGTACATTATTCTATTTAAAGCATAGCACACAATATATGTGCTACTGCGTGTATACAGTATAACACATATGTCCGGATAGGCCTACAGTTCATAACGCTGATTAATATTATTTATCTTGGGGTATTCTCAACCCACACATACAGGCACAGGCCTACAGCACATCAGTGGCATATCTAGGATACGCAGGGGATCAAGTAGTTAAAAATCACCTCATTTTGAAAGCTAGTACCCCACCCCTCATTAGCGCCCCTCAAATTCAAGACTCTTAGAAAAAAAAACAGATAACAATGATCAAATTCTTTTTTCATTAAGGACAGTTTATTTGCAATCATTTCTAAAAATAAAAAAACATTTAAGTATTAAATACTTTACATACAATATTTCTCGTAAAACCCAGATTTGTAAGATATACCAGAAAGGTCAGTTTCTAAAATATAATACTGTACTGAACTCACACAATGCCTCAACTGCATACATCTCAATCTTAAGGCAATATAGTATGTGGTGTGGCCTCTACATTTCGCATTATTACCTCAGTCATGGTATAAAACAGGTATGTAACACACTGCTGTCTCTTATACACATCTAGATGTGTATAAGAGACAG